CCCTTGGCAGGAGCATTTGTCCCTCCCACAGTTGTAAGCTATCTTGTATCTTGTCTTTTGTGTTATCTCCTTCAAGGGCCTAGTCCTGTCTGACTGCCTATAATATTTCTATCTAACGTGGCTGCCTGCAACATCACTACATAGTTCAGACTTGTAGTGATCCTCTTGTCTCAGCCTCTCTAGTGCGGGGATTACAGGCAGGTGCCACCACACCCAGTTTTGGGATTACTATGGCATGCACCAGGTTCTGGTGCTGGCACAGCATGTGGTACGGGGGATTGAACTCAGGACCTTGTACTTGCCAGGCAGGCATTCATGCCGCCCAGCTGTCTCCCCTGCCTTCCTGCACTTTTTAATCAACTTAATTTCCAACTAATTTTGGATCTACATAAAACTTAACAAAATAGCATAGAAAGTTTCTTTGTGCCTTTTCCCCAAATTTCCTTAGTGTTAAAATTTTAAATACTAAAAAAAAAAAAGTGGTGCAAAGGTTAGAAGCTAATCCTGGAACATTCCTATTTATTTAACTGACTATTGTATTCTGATATTACAACTTTTCCATTGCTGTTCAGTTCTGTTCTAATTTATTCCCAGTACCAGGGATTAAACCCAGAGCCTGGAACAAGCTGTACAAGCATTCTACCATTGAGGTGCATGTCCAGCTCAACTAATGCCCTTGTTTTCCATGATCCAATTTAGGAGCCTATATAGGGTACAGCTCACCTTTTAATTACTTAACAGTTTACCTTGAGTATCACGCAAGCAGCATGTTTGTTCATGTACTGGCTCTGCCAAGTGTTGCTCAGGCACCTGTCATTTCAGCCAGTCAATTTTTGTTTGCATGAGATACACTAGTATGTCTGCTTTATAATGACTTTTTTCATACTTTTTTATTCATAATGCACCTTTGATGATTGTTTCTAGTGAAATCTACTAAGTTCTGATTATTTTACTAATTTGTGTTTATTTGTGAAAAAGAACCTGTAATTTTGTGCTACAGTCTCTTATCATAAGTACATTAGATAAAATTTTTATACTTTTCCACAACTCATAGTCTTTTACAATGCAACATGGACACATTTGGAACATGAAGACTAAATAGGAAGGAAGTGCCAGCAGATCTAGAAATGAAAAAGGAAGTGGCCAAAGCTGGCCACAGTGCCCACCTCAGTCAAGAAAAGCATCCTGCCTGGGCAATTTCAACCAGTAGTCACTAGGCAACCATGTATCTCATGATACTAATTTTGCCAAGGTAAAATAAACACCACTACTGTTGTTCTCGGTTACTTTGCCCATCAGGCAAACAGGCTTCCACCTGAACCCAGCTCTTATCTCTTATCTATCTTTTCCTCATTCCTGCCATTGCTTCTCCCCAGGTTATACTGAGAAACTGAGTCCCCTCAGAAATGTTAGTATACCAAAGAAGAAAAGTGTGTTATGAAATAGAAAGATGAAAAAGATATCTCCTCATTCTTATTGTCAACTATCAGGGGACCAAAGAAGCCAACATCTTGGTGGCACATGGTCACATGCACTAAGCAAATGACATGTGTGATCAATACCTTAAGCTGTAGATCCTAGTGGAGTGGTAATTGTATGGAAATGATTGTATTGCCTATGGCGATTTTTGTTCTTTGATGACTGTCTCAGTTACTTTCATTGCTGGGACAAATACCCAACACCCAAAATGAAGGAAGGAAAGGTTTATTTAGCTCACAGTTAATGAAGGTTTCAGTCCATACTCAGCTGGCTCTAAGGCAGAGTGCACAGGGCAGAGAGCAACCTTTCATGGCAGCAGCAAAGAGCAGAGAGAAAAGAGGAGTGGCATAGCTCAGGCAGGTAGCTAAACTCTCCTCCCTCCTTACATTGTAATGCAAGTTACCTGCCCCAGGGCAAGTGTGCTATCCACACCTACAATAATCAACCACAAACTCCAGAAGCCATACCATGACTGCATGAGGCTTTGGGGAAACAACTAGACACAAACCAGAACATTCTGTCCCAGGACCCCCAAAGACTCATGCATATCCCTTTATGGAAAAGACATGCTAGTCCATCTGTAAGAGTTGCCAAAGTCCCAACAGTTTCAGGATTGCTGAAAAGTCAAAGTCCAAGATCCAAAGCAAACTCTTTGCTGTGAGCCTCTGTACAAATGAAAAATTAAAACACTTCCAACATTCAAAGGCACAAGATAAATATTATCATTCCAAAAGGTACACACAGCAGGATACTAAAGGTTGGGACCAAACCAAGTCCAAAATCCAGATAGGGGGCCCTGCCCGTTAACTCAGTTGTCTAAGTGTCTGCTCATGCAAATGCAGTCAGGCACAGCATACCACCATTCCATCCCCACCTCCACCTGCCTTAGCAGACCCACCCTCAAGGTAGCCTGAGCCAGCCAAAAAAAAAAAAAAAAAAAAAAAAAATCCAGAAGGACAAACATTAAGTCCTATAAATCCATGTGGGACATTTGAAGCAATCTGGCAAATTGTGAGCTCCATGTGGCTCTGCCCCTGTAGCACTTTTGGTGGTACCTCCCATGGCTTCTTTCTTAGATCAGCGTTGATCCTCCTTGCAGTTTCCCTTAGATGATCCATGTTCCTGGCCTTTCCAGACTTTTAGAGTTTCCACTGCACGTTAAGCTTCTCTCTGCTTCACACACTACCCTCTCAGGGGCACACTGCCTGGCCTCCCAGTGATACAGGGAGAAAAACTGGTCTCGCGTGGGTGACCTCCAAACAATATAGGGAACCTCCAAATGACGTAGGGAAAAACAATCTCTGGACCTGACCTGAAATGGAGACTTGCAGAGGTACCTCAGTGTCTCCATGTTCCACATCCTGATGAGGGCCCAGCAACCAAGGCTCTGTGCCCTGAGAATAGAAAGTGTGGGTCACTGCAGAGAAACAGCACAGCACACCTAAGGTACTGGCCAAGAATAAGGAGCCTGTAGAAAGGATGTAGAAGATGTAAATAATGGTGATTGCAGCCTGTGACCAGCAGCAGTGTGGAGACCAGCTTGTGCTAAGCCTCTTGTGTTGGTTTCCTACATATTGCAATTGACGTCTCCCCCAAAGAATCACAGTGAGCTTAAATTGGGCCTGAGTGTATCTGAGTGGTGAGAGGAGTGGGAGTCCTTTTAGTTTACACCTTAAACTAAAAATAGAATTTTCATCCTGTCATTTCTGTGCACCCTCCCCCTTTTATTTGACACTGTAGTGGACAGTTTCATATAATTGTTCTGCTGAGGTTGTGTACAGGTGAAACCTGGACATTCAGGGGTTTATACCCCACAAATTCTAGGGATTAGGGCCAAAAAGATGCCAGTCTTAGGATTTTCATACTTGGTCATGGAAGGCACCTAGGTTTCCTACAGAGGTAATGTCAGCAACTCACTTGTGTATTGGCATTTTCTTTCCTGTCTCTGTTTCTCATTCCAGTTTCCTAATATCACCTTTCAAAGAAATGGTCTGACCTCAATCCTTGATTTAACTCTGTTAGAGGAACGAAACCAAAAATTCATTCTTTCTAACACCAGAAACAATCATGTCTATTGAGAAACAAAAGTATACAACAAAGCTTCCTTGTTCTGACAGACTGCAGCAAAACAAGATGATGGAGGAGAAATCAAAAAGAAGGATTACCTCACTACAGATGAAAACATGTTACTTAAAACAGAAATGAAAACTGTTGTGTAGTAATAATCATATGCTACTATAGGAGAAACAATTCTAAATCAGGCACACAAAAATCTGGAACACATCATTGATAAGAATTAGGAAGGAAAGATGAC